AGAAGCTGACTTTCTTCTGTTTACTTGCTTTGTAGTCAGTGAGCAGCAATACTCTCCTTTATTTTGTGTCATGAATGAGGCAACAATCAGGCTGCACTAGAGACCAGCCAATATATATATATATATATATATATATATATATATATATATATATATATATATTATATATATATATATATATATATATATATATATATATATATATCAGGAGATTTACCCCATCTTTCCTTTTTTAAATGTGTTGTTTTTGTCTCTGCAATTCGGCTTGGTTGGAAAAAAATCTTTTGAGATACTTATGAACTCAGTAAATCCTCAGTGAGCTACACCCTGTGCAGTGGGACAAATACAGACCACTTCATGCTTTAAACTGTAATCGGCTGCTTTGGCCATACATGTACAGCATATTCATCTTTCTATATTCAACACTCATCACTTTTCATTATAGCGGGAATTGTTCTCTGGTATGACGTATCATCCGGTGGTGTGGCATGTTTCCAAAAGGGTATTTTGTAAAGATTAGCTGAGGAGATTGTTTGGTTAAAGAAGTAACCGTGATTAAAGAAAAGAGTCACATGAGCTCATAACAGTATAGAGGCCTCCACTGAACCGTGCACAGCTTACGCGAATTGAAAAATAAATCCAATGTAACGCAACATACAAGAATAACTGTTAAAAATGAAACAAATAAATGCAGTAATTTCACTGAAAAACGCAACTTTATTTATAAATAATGAAGGAATGAAGAATGCTCATTGGTCATATCAGAGTTTTTTTTATCAACTATGCTTCCATATATGTAACAAACTTACAACCTTTTCCTTCTAAAAAGACCTTCAAGAGTCTTTAAAAATAAAAAACATAAAAATTACATTATATAGAAACTGAGTTTTACCAAGAATTTGCAGTTTTGCAAAAGCAAAGGTTTATATCAAATATCAGAATATTTCAAAATTGTGTCATTTAAGTATAAGTTAGCTTTAACACTCCAGACTCTGCATTTTGTAATTAATGTTATATTTTTCTTATTGATTTAAAGTGTGATGTCTGAAAAGTCATCTCAAATATTAAAAAGCTCACATGCATGACTGGAAAGTTTATATGGCATGAACATTCAGGACAAAGACAACACAATGGCTTAAAAGTATCACAAGAAGCATACACACAACTGTGGAGGTGTGTGATGTCTCATTGTACATCACGACATCAGTGTATATGTAAGGTATCTGAGCATATGCATCGTCATCATTATAATATAATGATAACAAGGATGAATAACTAAAATAAAGCAGGTCACATGGCTCTAAAACAACAGCTCGTCTCAGCTAAACAGTCTATAAATCATGCAGATAAATAAAGAGAGAAAAAGAAGAAAATCAGAGAAACAAAATAAAAGACAGAAAAACGTTTGATGTAGAAATGAACCTGAAACAGTGGATTGCAGCCATTAAATCTGAGAGGTAACAAGGTAGGAAAGAGGGAAATGTAAATCCAGGCAGACAAAATTTTTATTATTTTTTTCTGATCTGAGATCTTTATCTGATCTGAGATCATGAATTTTACCTCATTGTGTGTCTCACTCATTGACATATGCAGCATGAAACGGTGGTCAAACGTGATAACTTTTAATAAGTCAAATTAAAAGATTTATACACTGGCATGAATGAGATTTTTTAATGCTCTCATTTGGTGGCAAAAGTGTGCGATCCATGTCTGGGGGCATCTTTGAGTTGAGGAGTTTAAATTATGATTTGATTTAATATGTGGAAAAAATTATTGAGCAGTATTCAAATAAATACAGGAAATATTTTTGCACACAAATCATTTTAACGTAAAATAAGCACGAAATTTATTTCATTCGTTTATTTTAACTTCATTTATTTAAAAATAATTTAAGAAATTTAAAAAAAAATAAGACAGGCAAAAATGAAGTTGTGGCTTTTGAGGGTTCCAGATGTTGCAGAAATTACAGGACGTACAAAATAAAAATGAAAACTATCCGAAAATGAAGGGGTTAACTGAGCGCAGAATAAACTTTCGCGCAAACTGTCCGCTGCACAGACTGAACCTGATGGATGCAGTTCGCTTCTGTGGGTGAAGCATAGCGTCCGTATCCAAGCAATCTGTATCCGATCATCTCCAGAAAACTGACCGCACAGGCCCACGTGCACGTGTGCGCGCCTGCATGTGTATATGTAAACAATAATGCAAAAGAAGAAGAAGAAGAACGCTCGCGCTGTCTCTCCATCAGTCGGGGGGAATAAAGTCTTGGTGTAAATCACTTTTCCGACTGGTGCAGCGCATTAAACAACCGTGCCATGATTCCTTTTCTCTCAGCTCAGCCGCCCCCTCCCATTTTTTTCTTTATCAGCTCGTTCACCATTTCATTTCTTTCAAATGAGAATTCAGGGACCCCCAAATTCAAGCCCCCGCGTCTTCAAACAACAAAACTGTACGGTTTTACTTTTTCTCCCGTCAAAATGGTATCCCAGATTCAATTTTAGATAGACCAGGATTTAGCCAGTGATGACTTCTTCCTTTTTTATTTTTTTAGACAATATTTAATATGCTGAAATGAGATCAGCTTTTACACAGACACACACACTCACTCACAAAAATGCTTTTTTTTTTAATATAAAATGTGAAATCTCGCGTTGAAATAAAAATGAATTCAGCTGTGATAAACCGATCTGTGTCTTGGCATATTTTCCCCTTCTTCTATCATCATCATCGTCATCATCACCATCAGAGAAGCAACAACAATGACACTACCATCATCATCTTCATCATCATAATCTTCGACCTCTGTTTTAGAAAATTAGCACGCCTAAATACAAAACCACATCCTCAAAGCCACTTATCAAAGTCCATTTCCTGCTGATGATTTCAGGGTGACATTAAAACACAATAATGTAAATGACCCATGACTTTTAATTAAAAATGTCCACCTCCTCACCTCCTCATCCAATTATTGTTTCGTCTGTTTTACTTCTTTTTTTATATACTTTATGTTGCTGAGAGAAATAAAATAATAATGAAAAGAAGTCAAAGCGCCTGCTTTACTCGGTGTTTCCCCTCCTCATTGACTTTTATCACCAAATGAAGCATATAAATGACCTGAAAGCGCTGGCTGTCGCGTTAAATTAAATAAAATAAAGAACAATTATCCTCTCCTTTTTCCTCTGATCTCGCGCTGAAAAGGAGTCCTGGAGAGATAAGGCAGATTGAATTCTCTCTGTTGTGCTCCAATAAAAACGTCAAGGGGGGGAAGAGAGATTTAAACACACACACACACACACACACACACACACCCTTTCCCTCTATAATTCCAAATCATAATTTCCCTCCCATTATACCTCTCACATGCCGTTTATCGTTATTTATTTCAGGGCGTTGTAACCGCACTCAATTTCCGTGACTAAGTTGGATAATTACAGGTAGTGAGTGAATCAGTCTCTGTGATGTAAAACTTAAAAATAAAAGAGACTGCAAACAATACTGTCTTAAATATATTTTTAAAAATGAATGATATATATATATATATATATATATATATATATATATATATATATATATACACACACACACACACACACACACACACACACAGACGGGCCTTTATCCAGCTACTCCTGAAAGTAATTATAATTGTCTCATTTCAAAGTTGAATTAGAGCGCTTTAGGGTTTTGATGTAAAACTTCACATTCGGTTCAATAAAGTATCACCCTAATTTACAGCTCCAGATAAGAAGCAAGTCTGTCATAAAAATCTGCCCCCCTCTCCTCCTATCCCCTGCCCTCCCTCCTCTTCCTCCCCAGGATGGAATTGCACCTTGGGCAATAGTGCAGAATGGTAACTTCTCCCCACATATGTTCCTGGCAGATAAGTAAACAATTTGGATGTGGAATGATTTTTTTAATTATTACTACAGTATTAATATGGGCAAGCTACACACACTCACACACGTGCGCGCGCGCGGTACGCAAATCCATCAGTCTCCATTAAGAAGAATAGAAGAAGAAACAGACCCCCTTGCACCCGGCGCTGGGTCGAAGTTTTCTTTCTTTCCTGCTTGTTTTTTGGGTGAGTTGTAGAGCTGTGCTCACTCTCTGCTGTGTTAATGAGAGCCGGGGCCTTTTTCATTCACAGGTCGCTGCAGGTTTAAACACGTGCAGATGACTCGGCGCTGATAGAGGTTTTAACGAAGTTTTTTGGCTGCAGCAGAAATCGCACACGCAGAGATTTTTTAAACTGCATCACAGTCGAGTGGTAGGCTGCTGTACAACCAACCAAAAAGTCGCAGATTGGGTGAAAAAAAAATGGAGCGAGAGAGAGAAAAAAAATCAGTATTCGCCATTAGCTAAACCTATAATTAAGCAGCTTCTTGAAGTGATTAAGCAGTCAGACGAGTCGGACGGGCGGAATCCCTCCAGGGAGGCCTCTCCTGAACTGTCAAACATCAAAAACCGGTTCATCCCGGTGTCACAAACACACCTTCATCATGCTGCACCGCTGAACATGCCTGAACCCTGCTTCTGCAACACGAAGCAGAGCAATCATCATAATAAAAATAAAAAAAGAAGAAGAAGAAAGAAAGAAAGAAAGAAAGAAAAAGAAGCAGTTAAGGAATAAAGCTTTGTGGAATGATCAAAGGGCCGGGAACTGACAGCTTTAACTACCGCACACGGGAGAGGGAATCGATGAGGGAAAAGAGGATTGATTTGATGTTATTGTTCTAATGTGCAGACTATCAACAGTATTGATTAGCTCGGGTGTATTTTTTTTAATCTTTAAAAAGATTAAAGTATTTTCTTAATTTATAACTTCAATTTTGTATATTTATTTTAATTTAAATTTTAAAATAATTATTAGTTTGTGATCATTAAACCTTTTATATCTATTTAATCGAACTTTTATTTTGGCGGTTTAAACGCCCCCGCAGCACGTGCACATTATAACGCTATCTCTGTGGTCTCAATAACCTACAAATACAGGAAATTGATCTGGTTGAAGACAGATTGTCTTTATTGAAAATGTCTTTGCTCGGCACTTGAACAAAGAGCAGGAGGTATCAACCTTCTAGATACATTATCCTTTCCATAACATGACAGGTTTTAAATTACCATCTTAGATAGAAAATACACATAGAACTCCTTGAATTCAAATAGAAGTTATCCTTAAAAAACAAAAAACAAACTAAAATGACGCGTGTGACTATATTAGCACTGAACCACAGGTAAAAATGCAAAATGAAACATCTGGATGTAAATGATTTTTTTTTCCTCATTTGTGTCTTCTTAAATAGACCGTATAGTTTTATGTGCCAGTTTTCTTTTTTCTTTCCTCTTTTTTTGTGATAAATATAACAATATAACCCGTATGTAATCCAGCCTACATGTCCTGATTTTGACCCTATGTCCAGAACATCGTCATAAAATTGCCAAAAATGTGGACTCCTTAGGCTGATACAGGAAATATGAACGCTAATTGTGCAAGCCAATTTTTCAAAATAAAAGTGAAGCCTATCAATAATCAACACAAATCAGCATATCAGCATTGAAATGTACACAATAAATAAAGTTAAAGGCCTCCTTTTCTGGTTGCCATAAACGTTATAACATTTACATTTCTTACAGTTCACAGGGCTCCGTCCTTTACACCAAACTCCAGCTCCTTTGCTCAGGCAGGAACTTGGTGGATTTCTGCAAAAGTTTGTTTTTTCCTCTTTTTTGTGCCATAACAAGTCCAAGGCAGTTAACACTGTTCATGCCTTTTTAATAGGGCGCGCTGTCCATAATATATTTACATGCATTTCAGTATTCAAGTGAATTATAAAGAGCAAATGAGTCTTGAGGGTTACATGGCAGTGGCATGTGCGGATGAATATGGGTCTATCCCAGTCTTGGTCATACCTGGAAAAAGTATGTAGGCCACCGGGGGCTGTAAACTTGACGTTGACCAGGCTGTGCAGTTACACGGGACGACATAGCCCGGGTTTGTGGGCGACGGGTGGGTGTGGGTGTGCTGACTGGGGCACCCAAGGGTGCCGAACGCGCCGTTTTGGTATCCCAGTGAGGATGCGTACGGCAAAGTGCTGGTGCTCAACGTGTGGGGCATCTCGGTCATCTTCTGGATGGCGCTGGAGCTGAACTGACTCGGGTCGAGGAAGGAGTATGGGGCGGATGTCGGCGGCAGAAACGCTCTGGCTTTCTCTGAAGAGCCCAAAAGAGAGTCCGCGGCCGACACAGGAAGTCCCTTCAAGTGATCGGTGTCCCCGAGGTAAGGCAGCGGAAAAACGTACCGGTCCTTCTTGAGCAGGTTTTTGGGTTTGCGCCTGGGTCTGTACTTGTAGTCGGGGTGCTCCTTCATGTGCTGAGCCCGCAGCCTCTTGGCCTCATCGATGTAAGGTCTCTTCTCAGACTCTGACAGCAGCTTCCACTCAGCGCCCAGTCTTTTGCTGATCTCCGAGTTGTGCATTTTGGGATTATCCTGTGCCATTTTCCTCCTCTGGCCCCGGGACCAAACCATGAACGCGTTCATGGGTCTCTTGATATGATCAGCAGGCTTTGACATCTTAAGACTATACTTTTATCCCCAATTTTAATGACGAGGAAAAGTTCTGATCGGAAAGAAGGCAAACTATTCACCTGTCTAGATGCCCGATACCAGTCATGCCCCGCCTGGGATCTTCAGATTCTGGAAAACAAAAGCAAAAGAAAAGAAAAGAAAAATCCAGCGCCCGGTGCGTTTTCCCCGAGTTTAAACACTGGTGCGCCTTCGTTTAAGTCCAGTAACAACTCTGTCAGACCTGCGCCAGGCAATACGGGAAAAAACACATGCGAGACGCACACACGTAAAAAAAATCCACAAAGGTGAAAGCGATGTTCCGCAGTCAGTTTGCTGGAGTCGTAAAAGTATTAGGTGGTTTTTTTTCTGCCACACACGCGCTCTCTCTCTCTCTCTGAGGTTTGTCGTCAAGCACCTGGCTTGGAAATGAGCGGAAGAGCGTGAATACGAGCCAAAAGCGGTGAAGTTCAAAGGCTGGGCTGGTTTGGTTTCTGCACGCAATCTGACATAATCTGCAGGGCGTTCACTCACCAACCTGAGCGCCCAATCAGCACGGAGAGCGGCTATTATAATACCTTCACGAAAAAATATGTACATTACAACATAAACAAAGAGCGGGAGGTAGTAGTAGAAAAAAAAGAAGAAAAATAAGGAAAGGGGTGTGTGTGTGTGTGTGTGGTGTGTGTGGAGGGGGGGTAATACCCAGGATCCCTTCCCGATTCCATTTAATGTAATGAATCGCAACAAACATGGACCTTCAACCTCTTTTCCAGTTAAAACCTGACTTCAATCCAGAGAGGTGACTATACCGTGCAACCAATTTACTGTACAGCTTTACGCACGGACGCCGGGGAGCACTCTGGATGTAAAGTCCCCCAAAAATGCACACGTATCTGTGGGCCTTTAATACAGCGGAACCCAGTTTTATTCGCATTTTCACATAATAAAAATAAATAAATAACATTAAAAATAGTCATTATAATAATAAAAGCACGACAGTTCATTTGCAACCGAGAGGTCTTCCACTGTTGCTCAATGACACTTCAGCCGGTTTTAACCTCTGTTATCCCGCTGCTGGTGGGGTAGCTGGGGGGTGTGGACGGGGTCACAAAAACCTCTTACAAGTCCATTTTTTTGTTAGCATTCCCTTAAACCACCTAACTCCCACGAGCACGCACATATGATGATAAACACGGGCGCGCACACGGTTTGGGCCCACGCGTGCCAGTGTGTAAAACTAAAACTAGGCATCGGCAGAATTACAAACAGCGAGGAAATATTACATATAGCAATAACTACAAACGTTAAGAGGAGCCGTCATTGTGCGTCTGTAATTGCTGCATTAGTTCACATCGATTTGACAGATTGTTCTTTTTAAAGAGGCGCAGAGTGATCGTTTTAAAATGCAAATGTCAACCAGGACCACTGCCTAATAGCCCTCGGGCTAATGTGCTTGATATATGATACTTTCAGCTGTGATTATTAAGCGAAAGGCAGGCGGATGATTTTTTCCCCCCTCTACACACACCGTCAAAATGCTGTAAGTGGAGATACAACCCCGGTTAGTTACACTGCTAAGCAGATTTATTTAAGGTTGTCTTTGGCCTCCATCTCTCTCTCTCTCTCTCTCTCTCTCTCTCTCTCTCTCTCTCTCTCTCATTCTCTCTCTGTACATATGTGTATTTTGCGGGCTGCGTATTATCATCTCATCTTCCTCTCTTATTTGTGTGGCTTAATGTAAACAGATACTCTAAAGATGGTTTTCGGTTCTTTAACATGTCATCACATCACACTCACACGCGTGTTTCTTATACAGAATGACCCGTCTAAAAAACCCGCAGATTTTTGCACACGTCCGCGGGCAATACATTGACTATCGTGATCCAAACCTCGTTTTATTTCGAGACCCAAAATAAAGCAAAGCGTAGTTCGTTTTTCTGTCTGATTTTCCCACATTTCATCCCCATCTCTGTCTCTTTTTCACGCTCTCTCTACGCTCCCTGTCTCCTCGCACACGCATGCGTCAATCGGCAGCTTGGAACAAGAAGATTTCCATCACATCTGTCTTTACAAAAAACAAACCAAAAAAAAAACCAACTTGAATATATCGTCTAAAATATGATCGTTTTGGGAGAAAGATCCTCCTCACCCCGACCCAGAGAACAATCAGTTGAGAACGTCTCCGACTTTTTTTTTCTTCCCCCTCCCAGTACATCCGCGATGGCAGGATGGCAGGAAAAAAGGGGGGAAAGAGGTAGAAAAAAGAGAAAGAAACAGCTCCTACACAATCCTCCCAATCGGCAGGCTATATGACGCTCATCTGCAACCGCGAGGTAGTATGCCGCATGTTTGCACTGTATATTTCGGCTTGCATTGAAGTTTTAAATTGTGCTATGCTATCTATCGCAGAACAGCGCATGCAATTTAACATGTAGGCTGCTGCTGCTGCTGCATGCTCACACCGGCTTCATTTTATGATCAATGAATTAGATAAGAGGAAATTATTTTAGGGGCTGAGCCTCCTATACTCACGAGGGAGAAGTCGGCTATGTTTCTTATTCAAAAACTGATTGTCTAAGAAATGCACGCCTGAAAGTTCCCTCGACAATTTACCGGGATAATGAGAAATGCAATAGGGTTTGATTCGTCAAGGACTCAGATGATGATTATTATTTCCATCTTTAGTTTTATTACATGCAGCCGCGGTACATTTTTGCTCTGAGATAATAATAAAAAATGCAGTAAAGAAATTTGGGGGTTTGGGTTTTACACCTGAATGTAAAAAGATGTCCAAACCTAAGTTATTTGGAAATGCCAAAAGATCTGATAACAACATATAAACAGAATTTTAAAAAGTGAAAAAAAAAATGCCTGTAACGGAATATATTTGGCTTAGAAATGACTCCCAAAATGAAACACACTATCAGTATTGTACACTGAAAATCAGCCTACTGGGAAGTTTAATGTTGGCTTTTATGGAAATAGAACAAAATTTAAATTTTGAGTCTAATAAATTTAAATCACACCCAAACATAGAGGAGCGCGCGAGACAAACACAGCACACATGCGTGCGCACACACATAAACTAGGATTATCTGAGGACACATGTCCATCCATCTCGCCTTAAAAAGTGAATGGGGAGCGGCCTGACACACGGAGAGCCTATTAGCCAACTTGGGTTCCCGTGGAGAGCATTGAGGTAAGCTCCCCTACCGTAACTGTCCATGGTGCTGAAGCGGTAAGAGGTTTTCTTTACTGCACACTTGCGTCCTCCCCTCAAAAACTCTTAAAAGCTAGGGTTGACATTTCAATGCCTTTTATTGTATTTCCATCCTATTTAGTGATGGTTCGCTGTAAAAATAAAATATTAGAAACCGAGACAACTCACATGGTCTACAACTTTCCTAACTTTTTTCCTTCTTCCCAGCAGAATGTTTTTAAGCCTATTTTTTCCACAGTGTGGAAGAACTACTGCTGAACCATATTTGGAACTAATAAATTGTGGCAACAGAAATTATCTTAGGCACACAAACATTTTTATGTTGTCAGAATATGTCTGCGTGTCCTGTACTGTAGCATCAGTGCAGGATTAAGTCTAACTCGGCCAGTGCATGTTGGATACAGCATGTATTACAGCATCATCTATTATGTTATTATATTGAATCATTGTTCTCAAGATGAATGGCTCATAGGTGGTGACGATCTGCTAATATAAAAGTAGAACCATACAGTGCACAGTACCAGCAATTAGACAATGCCATTTACAGTTTTGCTTCAATACTTATTCAGTAGTTTGCACAGATAATAGTGAGCTCTCCTTGAAAGTTGTTCTTTCGCTTTAATTTTGCAGAACCTTATATGCACACATCTCTATGAAATGTTCAGTCTGAATGTAAAAGCATTTAACAGTTAAAGCACAAAGTAGAATGTCTTTTTAACCATGTATAGACAAAATGTTCTATCAGCTTCATTTATAGCCTCATATATTGAAAACTGAGTGTTCATGGTCAAGCTGTTTATCCCCAGCAATGGCACAAAAAAATGCATATTCAGACTTTGGCTGTTGATAATTATACGTGCAATGTTAAAGACACAAAACGGGCTTTCTTTCACTAAAACTCAAATTCTGCATACAATAGGGCAGATCTTTTTACATTATTCCTTTACAAGTACCATTCACTAACACTGAGAAGCAATCAAAACAGCAATGAGCCGCATTTGAGATGTACTGCCAACATGCAGACTATATTACTAAGCTCAATATATATCTTTGTGGTGAAATTATTTCTCAGGAAGATAGAGAAATCAGACTTAAATAAAATTTGAAAATGACTGAACTTAAGCTGCTCTCTCCTTTATTCTCCAACACTGGATAATGCAGAACGGAGCTGAAAAAAAATTAACGGAGGTTCAAGGCATCAGGTAATAATGAAAGGATAGGGCCAATACTTCAAAGACCAAGAGGTCCACATCACACAATTATACAATACAATTAGGATTAAAGGGGCAAAACAGAGATAACAGGAGATAGGGATAAATTATCACAAAAGGAAAGATGTGACTCTCTCCTGACCTTCATTAAGAGAAAAAAAAACTCATTTAGAGCTGGCCTTCCTTGCAGGGGGATTTCAGCCTTTCACATGAGACTGTGACTCAGTAGATAAGATTTAACCAGCATAAATGAGAATCTGAACTGCTACCAAACAATAATATAAGATGCATATTCAGAAAAAAATTCAATAAGTAGTGATGCATATGTATATACGATTTAAACAACAAATACATCCATTTCAAAGCAGGGTTAACTGGTGTTATGCAAACCTTATTATTTTGACGCTAAACAGTTTATTTAATAATCTAAAATATTTCAATAAGCGGACACGTTGACACTGCTGGCTGTTAACGTGGTGTTCCGGGGTTTTCTAAGAGCTTAAACACATCCAGAATACAAGTCTATGCGGAGTTCAGGTAAAACCAAAAGACGCTCAACCTTAGACATCTTCGTCACTCAGATCAGGTTAACTGATGAGTATGTTTACTGGGTATGCCAGACCTATCAGGTAACTCTGAAATGGTCACATGATGCCCGGGGGTACTAAAAAATATATCCAGAGTCAGTGGGAAGAACTAACCAAAAGAGCTTTGTTTGGGAAGCTGCCATGTTGCAAGATGCCATAGTTATTCAGCATGTCTTCAGTAGTATCAGAACCTCTGACGCACAACGCTCATATTAGTCTTTAGAATTTCTATCCAGGTCCAGATGTTTTTCTTGTCATTTCAAAACAATAGAGGATAGAAATTAAATAGAAACTGTTAACTACTGACCTGGTTGAAGGTACTAACGTTATAAGGACAGATGATAAGAACCTAGCCTTCAGGCAAAGACCCAAATAAATCAGTTTATGGTAGCCTGTTGACCAACTCAACAATGTTCAAGAATTAAAGAACTGATCTG